AAAAAAAAAAAAAAAAAAAAAAAAAAAAAAAAATCTCAAGTAATACTGGATTATGAAAAACAGATTATAGGCCTGTCTGTCGGTCTCACACTGAAAGCTTCCAGCACTGATATTTACCATCAGCCCTTGTTCTAGTTTTTTCTTTCACCTTGTACTCCACATTTGGGTTCTGAGAAATGAATCTGAGAAATCTAATTGTTGGGGCAGTAGTTAAGAGTTGTAGGAAGAAAAAAAAGATACCTGCTACTCAGCACTTTTGGCTGTTTTCAGCTGGAGTAATTGGTGTAAATCTGAACACTCATGGCCAAGAGCAAAATTTTTAAGTCAAAGCAATCTCTGTTGAAAGTGCTTTGATTTTGCAGCTGGGTATAGTGAATGCTGCCTCAAACTACAGACTCTGCTAAAAAGTGTTGTTAAAAAAATAATAGTGTGTTGTGAGGCCATTGCAGCTCTGAAACTAAGCTAGGTCAACATTTGGGTAAGACATGTAAGGAACATCCAGTATTGGAGGAAGTGGTATCAGCATTTCAGTTTGTAGACCTTACGTCTGTTGTTTTGCCTTAACTAGGATTTAAAGGCATAAGAAAGATTATATTAGTTACCTCCATTTAACATCACAGTTGTCTTAAATTCTAGTTCTGCATCCAGAATCTGGAATCTGTGGAGACCTGGTGTCCCACCCTGATACTGGTTCTGACTTCTGGAGGAAACCCAAAATAAAATTCCTGAAACCTTGTGATTTAGAAAAATCCTGTGATATTGCTAAGGGCAGGTCTTTTAACTTTTGCCATAGCTCACTTTTAACTTAAAACACCCTACATAACATCTACATCCCTGGTGCAGTTCCAGTTCACTCCCTGTCCCAAGTTGCTGAGCTGTGCTTGGTGCTTTTGGTTGCTGCATTTCACTCTGGGGGTGGCTGCATGCCAGTTGGTAGACTAATCCACCAGGTGGAGGAGGAGAAACCATGCTTCAGTCAGATGCACAGACCAAATTCATGAGGTCAGGGCTGTCTTTTAAATCTTGGTTTCTTTGTTAAAGCACCTCAAGAGTTTCACTGCATTGCTGGTCTTAGCTCTTCTTCATGGCTTTGCTGCTGTAGCCCGTGGAGATTTCTCATCGGTTTGTGCCCGCTCCTGTTAGATGTCTTCTTAGCTGCCAGATGGAAAGTCCTTTCCTCAACTGCTACTTTGTGTAAGAGGCAACAAAGCCATATGTGATCTCCTGCAGTTACATACAGTCTTGAAAGGCCAGGAGCTGAAGCTCTAGTGTCCTGATCCACTGCATTTCCGTGGTGGACATAGTGATCCTTGCCCATAATTTCCATAGTGATTTTTTTTTTTTTAAGTTTGCAGAGCATTTGGATGAAAGTTTCTACACAGAACAACAATAAGATCTGTCTTGTGCATTTGAGAACTATTGTGTAGTGGGATTAAAGGGGGGGCTGCAGAGCACTGACTCGCTACAATTGTGTTGCTGTCTGCTGTCGTGCTGCATCTTTGACTAGACAGGACGGAAAATAAAGGGGTCTCTGTGTGTGTTCATGCATGTGGTGGGAGGTGGGGATTTAGCTGCCTGCCTCTCCTGAGACCTATCAGGCCAAGTTGTTCCTCTGAAAACTTACCCCTGGCAGGAATTAAGGAGCACTCGCATTCTGCAGTGCCTTTCATCTGAGGATCTTAAAGGTTAATAGACCTCACTCCTGCAGAACAAGCAAGGTTTAGCCCGTGTCACTGACAGGGAAACTGGCACAGGTCAAGACTTGCCCAGAGAGACAAGTGAGTCATTGAAGCTGGAATAAAAACCCAGGATTCCAGTTCTTTCTTCTTGGCTCACCCTGCTGGACTATTGCAGCTTAAAACAATTGTCTCAGTAATTGCAAAGCCAGAAAACAAGCTCATTAACTTTACTGACAAAACAAACTCCAGTTCCCCACTCTGTCTGCTGGAGGATTTTTCCTTTCCTCTCCCTGCTGCAGCAAGACAAACACAACATACCTTGTATTTCAGCACATTGATCTGCTGTCTGATCACAGATGGGGGACACACTTTCACTGCTAGTAAGGTAGATCCTCTCATGGATAGCACAGGAGAAGTAATGCATGAGGCAGGAATGTGCTTCCAGCTTTCATCAGTGTACCAGGTACTTAAATAAGACTTACAACACCACAGTCTCTATTATGACTTCACTGCTCATGGCAGGAAGCAGTTTGTGATTTTTCTTTGGACTCTGCCATGCAATCTGTTGTTTCTTGACTTCCTTCCCAAAGTCAGGAAACCTCCTCATCCAGCTTCAGCCAAGGAATGTTTGTTGGTTTGTCTTCTCAGTTCTTTGTCCCACCAGTCTCCTGGCACCCAACAGATCTAATCCAGACAGACTTAGCTTGGTCCTTCATCCTTCTGACAGAACACCATGCAGTTCAGCATGTGAAAGGAGGAGGATCTTTAGCCAACACAACCAGAGGGGCTGTTTGTTCAGTGTTGATACCAGAACCTGTGGCATCTTCCCACAGATAACAGGTTTGGCCCAATTTCAAACATTTCCCCTGTCCCTTTGTTGGCTGCCACTATCCTTGGCAGTGCTGTATGTACATAATAATAGTTACTTGTGAGATGAAAAGAACTGTCTAAATCTAAGCTCTTCTCACGGACTGCCTCTCCGAGTCTCATTTTCCTTCCTTTTACCATCTCTGGTCTCACTTTAACAGCCCTATAAATCATCTCAGTGTGATACTAGGTTGAGTATCCAGGTTGGGGTGCCCTGATTGCAGCGCTGAGACCTTGGGTAAATCTCATCAACTGCTCAGAGAGATGCTGGGGCCAGCAGATAGCCTTAGAGCTTGTCTCACCTGCGTATCATTGGCATGTAGTTCCATCTTCAACTCTTCTCCATTTCCTCATATGTAAAATGAAGATAAATGCTTTGGAATGTCCTTGGAGGTCCTCAGATGGAACAGGTCATGCAGGGGTAAGTACTTTAGCTTCAGCTACTTAGATCACTTGCTGTAGCTGCTGCCAGTCTGCTAAGGGGAGAAGTGTAATTTCTGGTCTGCCAGTCAGCCACCCCTCATTGGCTGTCTTGTCAAAATGTGCTGCTTCAATACATCTTATAAGGGCAGGCCACACAAGGCTATCCCGTGCTTAAATGCTGCCATTTTGAGACTGCCCTGGATCCAATCTGATCTGATCTGACACTCTTGTTAGGCTGGGATTGTAAATCCTTCAGGCTCTGTAGCATGCACACTGTCAGCATTCAAGAGTAGCTTTCCATGATTTGAATTTATTGTTGGCTTCCCGTGCTCTCTGCTCACAGAATGGTATAGGGTGGGTGTGTACTCCATTTTCAGTTGGGTGTTGTTTTAATGCGTCTGTGTGTGGGGGAGAAAGTGGGACACAGCTCAACACCCCAGTGTTTCAATGAGAACAAGCACTGAAGAGGCATCTGCTTTTCTGATTCTCCTGCTTTGGCCTTTTCATTCAGTAGTACAAGAAACCACTGTGGGTAATTAATTGATTGGACTTCACTCCCATCTTGTGCTCCTTGCTCCACTTTTTTTTTTGCAGCCCCAGAACCTGAAATTGGCTTCTGGTTTGCCTCTCCTGGGGAAAAGAAAAAGCAGTGCTACTAAGGTAAACCTTGTAGAATCCTGTCATTGCAGGGCCAAGCAGGAAGTCAAGTGGTAAAAAGTGAGATTTGCCCCTCATCCCACACTTGTCAATCTTTCTACTACTTGTCACATGCCATCAACCATATGCTGAGCTGCTTTTCCAGCTGGGCCTGTTTGACAGAAGTGATTTCCCCTTTGGGAGCAAAATTAGGTTCCATCAACCATTCTTTGCCTTCCGTTGCTTTCCATGCAGCAGCTGCAAGATCACCTCTGCACACTGCACTTGCTTACATGCCTTCCTAATCTCTGGATGTTTTCAGCTGAGCGTGCACATCAGGAGGAAAACAAGCTGCTGCATCTTCGCAGTGTAACAAGCTTTCCCTTCAGCCTTCCATACTGTGCTAAGGGAGAGGGGCTGTTTGCTGCTGTTCTGGAAGCAAGGGGCGCTGACATGTGAATACCTGTCTTTATGGTCTGCACTTCTTCCCAGAAATTGGAGACTTTGTCCACCTCCATTATGACAGGGATGCAAACTTGCCCTACCTCTTGTCTTGCATACTAGATAATGATGTTTTTGCCATTTCTCTGGGAAGCCTCGCATCCTAACATTGAAACCTGCAGCCAGGCCCCATTCCCCCATTTGGTATCTGAAAACTCAGAGTGCAATCTTATTCCTGTTTGAGTCCCCAAGAAAGTATCAATGCATCTACTTCTGTGAATGCCTTCACTTCAGCCTTAAGACTGAATCATAAAAGATGGCGACAAGGAGGAAGAGGAGAATCCACCTATCTCTCGAGTTCATGGTTTGTCAGGGACTCTAGCAGGGTAGAATAGGATTGGTTGTAGATACCCAGCAGGTGGAACAGCATCAGGTGCTTCATGCTGAAATGGACAAAGTACAGAATTTGGGGAGCAAAGTGACTGTATGAAAAGACCTGTGTTTAACTTGTTCGGCATATACCCAGAACCTGAGTGTGACTGTTCCCCTTCTCTCTCTCTCAGCTTTATCTTCACGTTACAGAACAGCCTTGTGGATCCTGCCTGCCTGAAGATTTGGTGGACCACTCTCCAGAAACATTTCTGATTGCTTCTGTCCTTGGGTCCTGGACTGCCAGACACTATGTACTGCCTTCAGTGGTTACTGCCTGTCCTCCTCATCCCCAAGCCCCTCAATCCCGCCTTGTGGTTCAGTCACTCAATGTTCATGGGCTTCTATCTGCTGAGTTTCCTCCTGGAGCGGAAGCCGTGCACAATTTGTGCCTTGGTCTTCCTGGCAGCCTTGTTCCTCATCTGCTATAGCTGCTGGGGGAACTGCTTCCTGTACCACTGCACTGGCTCCCAACTGCCTGAATCAGCTCATGATCCCAGCATAGTTGGTACTTAAACCAGTCTCTCAGCCTGCCGACGACTCCGGTTTTGCTTTTAAAGAGGGGGGTTGGGGGCAGGAGGGATTGTGAGGCATGCGGCTGGAGTACAAGCAGCCTGTGTTCTGTAATGTATGTGTGGACTAGAGCGGTAAATTCCTGACCAGCCCTCCCATTTTGCCTGTGACTTGTTTACTGTGTGAACTCTGGCATCACCACCTGCTTTTAGAAGCAGAACAGCCCTATCTTTTTCTTCCTGTGTTGTTGGGAATGGACACCAGCCCTCCCAGCTGAGGTGTGGGGGGGAAGAAGGAGCTGTCACCCTGTCTCGTTCTTGCATGGTGGTGGAGTTCTGCTGTGTCTCTCTTGCTTATCCGTGTATGGCCATGGCGGTCTGTCCTAGGGCTTTAAGCTCACCAGATCTGTCGAAGCAGCCACAGGAGCCTCTCCATCTCGCTCTCTGCAGGGCATCAGGCTCTCTCGCCCTGCTGATCAAGGGAACTCAGCAGCTAACAGATGGATGCAGCCAAAAGTTGTGGAGCCAGAGGCCGTTGAGTCATCTCCTCCTGCTCAGCATGCCAAATCTAAGCGTCTGCACTGCCCAAGTGCTTTCTGAACTACTTACATGCTCCTCAGTCACAGCTTAAAAACCCTCAGTTGTCATGATGCTTTTACAGCACTTCTCACAGGCATCAAGCTCCCTTCCTGGCTTGCCACGACTTGCTGTGGCTTTGATTGCTGGGATCTGAATGCATGCTCTGCTATGGTGTTTAGGGTTATGTAAAGTTGGCACTCCCAGCCTGACAGGCTAGGAGACCATTGGGGGGGAGGGAGGGATGATGCTGTGAAGTGCTGCAGTTCAAAACAGCAAATGGGTACAGTCATTTAAATGACAGTGTTTTCAGGCCAGGGATGACTGTGCATTTTCTATTATTAAAAGCAAGCCAGCTGCCAGGTTCCCTGCCTGGGGAGAGGGAGGAACAGATGGCTAGTGGGAAGTGCCTGGGTCAACCTCTTCCCTTGGCAGGAGGTTTTGATGTGCCCTGAGTGGCACTTGCTGCACAGGTTTCTTTCCCACCCCCACCATTCCTGGAGCTGCCAGGGGAACAGTCCTCCTTGCAGCACAAGGCAATCACTTGTGAGAAGTTTAACCAGTTCTCAAAAAAAACAAAAGAACACACTGGCTCTAAAGCATCCAGGTGACTGTTCTGTTTGCCATCCATTCATCTCCACACATGCTTCTTCTCATGGAGGGTGGCAGGAATAGCTGCTGCTATTTCCCTAGGAAGTAGAAAATCAAATTGTACAACTTCCAGAGCATTTGGTTTGTTCATTGCACAGCTGTTCAAGATGTTTAATAAAGCTTTATAAACTTTGGTCTATGGACTTGTGCCAGTTGTAATGCATCCACTGCACCTGGACTAAGGCATCTGGCCGAGTAACTTTCTGTTCCTCCACATCCTTTTCTGAGGACAAGCCAAAGCAGGCCTACAAAAATACTGGAGTCTGCACCAATGCCACATTTGCTTGCAATGTTTGCTTGTTCTGGAACACGGAGTGCCTGACACTGACCCTTCTTCCCATTCAGTTAAAAGGGACTTGGACACAGATTGTAAAACCTACTTCTGATTTTTAAATGTGGCCCTGAGGCCTGGTCCAAGTGGCAAGATGAAACTCACAGCCACCTACCCTTGCAGCTGGAAGTCTAAAACTAAGGACTCCAGTACACTGGCAGAAATGAGACCTGTGTTTCAATAGCACCAGTGGAAGAAGCTGTAGTATCTCCAGCAGTTGCATATGTTTTCACATAGGGGTCACTGAGAAGGAGGGAATGCCTGAATCCATTCCCCCTGCTTTGCTGTGCAGCTGTCATTTGACAGAAATGAGACTGAGTTCATCCCTGGGTGCAGCTTAATGCAGACATGCCATCAGAGCTGTTTGAGAAAAGGTGTATGAGGTTTGTCTCAGCACTGTTGTTCCAGGTGAGCTCTTTGAGGATGCAGCCTTGGACTCTAAAGTAGAAAGCTAGGATAGTGCCTTCATTGTACCAAGTACAACATATTTTGCCTCTTGCATTTTGAAATTGTTTGCTAAAACAGCCAGACTCCTCTGCCCGCTTTTTTTTGTTAAGCAGTTAATGTGCATCAGAATACTTGCCCAATGATTTGCAACTCATAAGAGCAAGAGCGAGACCTTACATAGCTAAGGAAAGTTGCTTGTAATGCAGCTCGTCTCTGGTTTGTAGCAGTGGCAGACAAGGGAGCAGCTCATAGTTAAATACACAGCAAAGGGATATAAAGGAGACAGGAACTCAAAGTTCAGGGATTACATAGAGGCTGGTTCAGAGCCACAGCCTCATTACTTAGTGACCTGTGTGAAATGAGTCTGGAGAGCCTCCCATGTTCTTCACTAACTCGTCTTCATTTGGAATGCCTGACAGCCTCTACCAGTGAGGCAGGGGCTAGTACCTTTGTCCTCACCCAGAGGACGGCCCCTCAGTCAAAGCACATTGGCAGGGTAGCATAGAGGAGTTTGCTAAACCTTTGTCCTGTGAGCAGAGGGCACCAGCACTCTGGCACCTGATCCTAGCACCACATTCTCAGGCTGCAGTATAATTGCAGCATCCAAATTTCAGAGCACCTGTTGCTTGCCTTACCTGCCTCACCGCAGTTCCAGAAGTCACTTACTCAGAAGTAAGAGAACACTGCCACCCTCACCTGGGCTGCATGCAAATACTCTGTCCTCATTGCCAGGCTCTGCTAGGATGATATTCTATATGGAGTTCCTTTACTAGCTGGTGTCTAGCTGGTCAAGAGGTCACTGCTTCCACCACAGTTGGGATCCGCTGAAACTGAATCCAGTTTTCTTTGTTGCCTCAACTCGCGCAAGTCCAACTTGGCAAGAAGTGGCAGTGCACGAGCTTTATAAAGTGCAAGAAACAGCCTTGCATGGTCCTGAATAGATGTCAAAAAGCAGCTTTCACCTGTCTGGTTTGGGTATTTGTCTCATCGTTTGTGCAGAGCCTCAGGGCTAGGAGACGGCTTCATTGAAGTCAGCGTAGTCTTAACTGCTCAGTGTGCTCACTGCTCAGCAGCTACAGGAACAGCCTGATCTAAGATACTATACTTGCACTCCATTAAGGCTGCTTGCCTCCCTTCTCAGGATGCATTACACATCTAAAGGTCAGCCATGATATAGACAAGACGTAGTCTAGGTCTGCTTTAAAATCAGAATTGGATGGGACCTCAAGGGGCCTCCAGTCAAGTCCCCTGCACAAATACAAGAATACAGTTCAAATCCATCCCCGTCAAATGCTTATCCAGTCTCCCCTTGAAAACCTCCAGTGACAAAGTCTACAACTCCCCTGGGTAGTCTAGTCCACTGCCTCGCTGTTCTAACAGCAAGAGAGTTTTCCCTGGGTGCATCAACATGAGAAACAATTCCCATCGGACTAATTCTACTGCGTGTTAGTGCATCACGCAAAGTGTGCTAATGCGCAGCAGATTAGTCCAGCATGCACAAAAAGCACTTATATGCACTAATGTGCAGTAACACCAATTACAGCACATTAAGTTAGTAACTTATTACAGGTACTAAATAAGTGTGCCATAATTACGGTGCATTAACGAACATGTAGATGTGCCCCCTGAGATCTAATCTAGAGCAGCTTTGGTGCAATTTAAAACCACTGCTTTGTGTTCTGCCCTGTGTGGCAAGGGCAAACAGTTCTCCCTCTTTTTTGTGGCAGCCTGTCACATATTTTGAAACTGCTAACAAGGGCCCCCCCAGTTTAGAGCCCTTGCAATACAGTAGTGTTTCCCAAATTTCCAGCCCAAAGCACACTTACATAAATACATTTTTTCCGTGGCGCACCACTTAAGGCATTCCCCATCCTCATACCTATTGTAGCTCATTGCCAGGGCAAAATTCCAGGGTGCACCTGTTCATTTCTGACAGCACACTTTTGTGCTGTGGCACACTGGTTGGGAAACACTGCTCCCAGTCAGTTTCCTGTTACACAGCTGAAGACAGTACAAGTCCATTAGGAAACAGACAGTACAGAAATGGGTACACTTAAGTGGTTTATGCACTTAACTGATATGCAGAAAACATGCCGTTTATAATCCGATCAGCAGGCAGCAATTTGAGATTAAACTCCTTTTGCACAATTAAGCAGATTATGCACTTGTTCAACCCGCATGCAAGTAAACAATGGTGTAGTAATGGTACAAGAAAACTCTAGAAAGAAAACTGGCAGATCAGTACTAGTTAAATAACTAGGTAGCAAGGATTTCTTGGGGTATCTTTTATTGGACTAGCTATGGAGTTGAGATGGAGTTAGACAAGCTTTCAAATGCAGGACATTCCTCATCAGGTGGTTTAGGTGCAAAGAAGTGAAGGCTAATGCCTCTTCTGGTTATGATTCAGAGTACATTGGCTTAAATAGCTCCATTTTAAAAATAAGTACCCAGAGCTTTTTGCTAACTGGGCTAAATTTCACCTTACAGCCATTTAACTGAGCCCGGGCCATTAGGTACCTATTAGACTGGAAAGTCTGAGATCTTTAGGAGACAGAAAACTGGAAATGTATTTTGTGACCCAGCTCTGCAATGAAGTAAGGCAACACTTCCCATTCTGTTCTTTATTCCATTTCCTTTCAGTAAGACACAGCTACAAGCCTGCTTCTTCTTAAAATTAGATCCAACTTGGAGAAAACATTTAAAAGTAAGGGCCTGCCACCACAGCATGAGTAAAGAACTTGGAAACTTTGGGTGGGGAAAAGTCCAAGCAATAAGCTTTTACATAAACTTCCACACCAAAGCTGTTTAGTCCTTCTGTACCTCCTCGTACCACAGTGTTTAAGTACTTTGCAGTGTTCAGCATATGCATCCTCAGAAGCCCCCTGTGAGGATACAGAGAAGCATACCAATTTTCAGATAGGGAACCATAGTAACTTGGAGTCAGCGTCACACAGGAAGCCTACAGTAGAGCAGGGAATCCAGTCCAGGTCTTTCAAGTCTGATGTTGGTGCCTTCATCACAAGGTCATCTTTACAGCCCATGGAAAGCCAGCTCACAACACTGCACAACATGAAGGCAGATCCCAGGTCAATCCCATAACGTGTACGGAAAGAGGTACAGGGTCTTTACCATGGATGCCCACAAACTACCTCTGGCTCCTCTGAACAAACAACTCAGCTCCAACCTAAGTATTTATGCTGCCTGTATGTAAGTCTTTATTCAAGTGGATGAGCTATTTTTTCCACCTCCTGTCAAACAGTGTTTGCCTGACAGAGGGAAACACCATGTTCCAGGAGGAGCTGAAGTGACACTTATACCACTTGGAGGAGAAGTGATTAGTGTAAGCACACGCTTTATGTACACACGCACAATGGGCTAGGTCTGGAGGGGCTCGCTGCAAGCTTGCTAGTCCTGTTCTAACCTGGTTGTGGTGGCACCAAGGAGTTTTTAAACTACTGAATGTGGAAGGTTGCTGGGATAAGAGAGATGTAGGGGGAAGAGAAAGGCTTCTGGGAGGGAAAATGCTTTTGTGGTCAAGTCCTTGTGAAGGAATTTGGCCAGGCCCCCTTTCCAGCTCCAGTACCCATCTGCAGCACAACGTTCAGCAAGTATTTCCTGGCCGGGAGCCTTGTCAGGCTTAACTCACGGCTAGGAAATTGCTTGGGGACAGCGGTAGTGTAGAATTGCAACCCACGGCCCTGCCTCCCAACATGGAGCCCTGCTGGCCTGTACTCCTGTTGCCTGCTAAAACCTCTGGCAAGTAGCTTAACTGGGGCTGGATACCTAGGGTACCAGCCCTGGGAACACACTTGGAGGTGGCACAAAAGAGAGCCACTGCGTCTGCTGACCAAGGCACAGACCCTGGTATGCTTCTGCTCATGGTGACCAGGAGGGTTAAACCATAAGATTATCCCTTCCCGCCCCCCCCCCCCCCCCCCCCCTTACCCCTACAACAC